ATACCCATTCGATACCATGTTGTCTGGCCCAGGTGTCTAGGAGGCTATTTTTGAACTCACTCAATTCTTTCTGGAGTGCCATGTTGCCACAGGACTTGCTTTTCAAAGCTCAAGATGGTGTTCCAGGTGGTGGTGTGAGGCACAGGGTGCATCTCCAACCGTCCAGTAGTTGTTTCCACCATTGTCAGCATGTAGGGCTTGTCTTGGCAGGCTGGTGGGAGTGTGATGTAATCAAATCTACCAGGCCTCCCTATATTTATATGTTGATCATCATCCACCATATCACAGAGACTTTACCCACTTGGCCGGCTTGATCGTAGTGCATGTTTCACAGTTATGGATAACCTGGGAGATAGTGTCCATGGTTAAGTCGACCCCTTGATCACAAGCCCATCTGTATGTTGCATCTCTTCCCTGATGACCTGAGGTGTCATGGGCCCACCAAGCCATAAAATAATTCACCCTTTATGTTGCCAGTCCAGATCCACCTGAGACACTTTAGTCTTGGCAGCCCCATCCACCTGTCCATTGCTGTGATGTTCTTCAGTAGCCTGACTCTTGGGTATAGTTTTACAGCCAAGTTCTCTGCCCAGGCAGCAATGTCTTGACACAATTCAGCAGCCCAGATGGGTTTCCCTCTGCACTGCCAATTGGTCTTTTTCAGTTGGTCTAGCCACCCTCACAGAGCATTTGCCACCATCCACAAGTCAGTGTAGAGGTAGAGTGCTGGTCGTTTCTCTCATTCAGCAATATCTAAAGCCACCTGGACAACTTTCAGCTCTTCAACATGATTTGATCCACCTTGTCCCTCAATAGCTTCTGCAACTCGCTGCGTAGGACTCCATATGTCAGCTTTCCATTTTCAATGTATCCCTATGACACAGCAGGAACTCTCAGTGAAGAGAGCATATCACTCTTAATTTTCAGGTAGCTGATTAAATGGTTGGGCCTCCTCAACACGTGTGACCTGCTCCTCTTCTTTGGATGATAATCCAAAATTTTCACCTTTGGGCCAGTTTGTGATGATTTCCAAGATCCCTGGGCGATTGGGATTTCCTATTCAAGCTTGCTGTTTGATCAGTGTGATCTATTCACTCCACATGGCATCAGTGGCATGATGTGTGGAAGGGACTTTCCCTTTGAACATCCACCCCAGCACTGGCAGTCAGAGTGCCAGGAAGAGCTGTGCTTCAGTGCCAATCACTTCAGAAGCAGCTCAAACCCCTTCATAAGCTGCCAGGATCTCTTTTTCAGTTTGGGTGTATCAGGATCCTTTGTATCCCTGACTCCAGAACCCCAGAGGTCAACCTCAGGTCTCCCTGGGTACTTTTTGCCAGAGACTCCAGGAAGGACCATTGTTCCTGGCTGCAGTATAGAGCACATTTTTTACATCTTGTCCTGTCCTGACTGACCCAAGGGCTACTACATGAACAATCTCCTGTTTAATTTGTTCAAAAGCTTGTTGTTGTCCAGGACTGCACTTGAAATCATTCTTCCAGGTCACATGATAGACAGGGCTTACAATTGGACTGTAATCTGGAATATGCATTCTCCAAAAACACACAGCACCTCAGAAAGCCTGTGTCTCCTTCTTGTTAGTTGGTGGGGACATAGTTGCTATTTGGCTGACCACATCCATTGGAATGTGACGATGTCCATCTTGCTATTTTACTCCTAAAAACTAAATTTCCTGGGCAGGTCCCTTGACCTTACTTTGTTTTATCACAAAACTGGCCATCAGAAGGATCTGGATTATCTTCTCCCCTTTCTCAAAAACATCCTCTACTGCGTTGCCCCATATGATGATGTCATAAATGTAATGCAAGTGTTCTGGAGTCTCACCCTTTTCCAGTGCAGTCTGGATGAGTCCATGATAAATAGTGGGGCTGTGTTTCCACCCCTGAGGCAGCTGGTTCCAGGTGTACTGGATGCCCCTCCAGGGGAAAGAAGACTGTGACCTGCACTCTGGTGCTAAGGTAATGGAGAAAAATGCATTAGAAATGCCGATGGTGGCACCACTTTCTTGCCTTGGACTCCAGTTCATACTGAAGTTCCAGCATGTATGGCACAGCAGAACTCAGTGGTTTAATCGAATCTTTCGAATCTGTCCACAGTATTGGACAGTATTTCCACAGACAAGGTACAGGTTGGTAGGGAGGAAAAAAGATGATCTTCATATTGCCCAACTCGGGTAGTCACCTGAAGCACTGTTTGTTCTCCTTCTTTCATTGACATAACTGCCAATGAGCGGGCGTAAGACAATAACATGCTCCGTACAAACTTCCACCACAAGTGGTATTTATCCTTGAACAATTTCCTGTGGTGGTTGTTCTTTGTCTCAACTCACGTACCCATGCTGCTAGGGCAGAGGTGGGTTTTTCATGCCACTTCCTCGTGTCCTCTCTGTGGTCATCAGGTAAAACTCCAGGTTACCTCATGGTGTGTACCCTCTCTCTCCAGCAAGGAGGTGCTTGCTTCTAATAGCAGAGATTCTGTTCTGTACTAATGGGCCATGGGACACTTCTTTAAATTGCTGGCGGTCCTTGGACAGTTTTTCCATGGATGAGACACAGGCCTGCAGCGGGGAAGAGATACTTTCCTCATATAGTCTGAGTTTTGTAAAGTAAATTATCCACTCTTAGTTCTCTTTTCCATGTCATCACTGCCAATGACAATGGCGTGCTCCGTACAAACTTCCACCACAAGGCTTGTGTACACTGGACCTCCTCTGGATCTACAGGGGACTGTTTGTTATTTGAATCCCTATGGATTACCTCCAGCACAGCTAATTCTCTCAGGTACTGGATACCTTGCTCCATGGTGTTCCACTTTTCTCCATGCACTAAAAGATCATCCTTGAAAAGATACTTTTCCTTCACGCTTGACAGGAGTCACCTCCAGAGGCTGAGAGTTTCTGTTCTCTTCCCAATCCCCTTGTCAATGCCTGCATCCCAGGACAGCGATCTCAGTTGCTTGGCTTCACTACCATCTAGTTTCATATCGTGGGCCACGATATCCCAGCATTGGAGCAGCCAGGTCACCAGGGGCTCACCCGACTGGCAGTTGAAATCCTTTTGCATATCTTGCAGCTCACCCAGGGATAGGGATTGGGTGATTATCTCTGGCCCTGCCTCTTCCTCCTGTTCTGAAGACCCTACTTTCTCTTCATCCCTCACTAAGCAAACTGATTTGGTCTTGGATTTCTTCTTCTGTATAGGGGCGACTGCTATGGGCACAGGTTGTTCCTCTGGTTCAGCTGCAGTTTGAGTGGCCTCGGTGCCTGTTGGTCTGCTTTCCTCCTCCTCCCCCTGAGGGTGCTGTCTAGTGACGAGCAGTGTCTGATAAATAGTAGCCAGGGCCCAGCACATTGCATAACTTTGTACCTCTCTGGAACTGCCACAGCATATTTTTTTTCAAATATTCTGCCACATTACCAGGGTCCTGTAGTTATTTGGGGGTGAACTTCCAAACCACTAGAGCAGAAAATTTCCTTCAAAAGCTGGCCCATTTTCTCCTACCTTCCATGTCACTCGTGTCTATCCACCCCTCAGGGCAGATCTCTGAATGACCTTCCCAGAAATCTCTTTTGTAACTCTAAACATGGTGTAGACCGCACTGAGGAGAGACCTGGCAGACCAAGCAACAAGAGCATGCTTTCCTTCACATCCAATGGGAATTCAAGATTCTCAAAAGCTGTTGTAACAGGCTGGAAGGAGGAAAAGGGGGTGAAAAGCTGGGGAAAATCATCCTCCCCTGTTCCCCCCACAGACTGGGTACGATTATTAATGAATTCCCAGAGGTAACACCCAAGGTAAGAGTAGGAGAGCAACGCTGAATACACATCCCAAATGATCATTATTGTCCTTAATGTTATCATGTCATAAACTGATATCACACTGTACAGCAACAAAGCAATTGTGATTCCTCTCCCTGCTCTGAAAAAGAGCACCATGAGCAGTACATATAGGAATACATACCAGGTTAGGTGCCACACCCACATGAACAGATCAAGCAATATCGTGACCAGTGGCTCTGGACCTAATACAGCAAACGCTTAGATCAAATTTCTTTCCAACCCGCTCTGGGCAGATCTGTTGCTATCTCAACCCTTTGTGCCCCACATTGGGCGTCAATTAAGGTTGTCATGGTTTAGGAATGGTATTCCCCAATTTAGTACTGCCACTAAAAAGACCACGAACCACTCCCCTTCCCTCCTGAATGGGAGGCACAAAAGGCAAAGATCACGGGTTGAGATAAGAATAATTTACTGGAAACAGCAATGAGACAAGAAAACAAAAAGTAACAGCAACAATATTAATAACAAAACTATACAAAATATAAGGTGTTTCACATGGAGAAATTCTCATCATGGACCCCGGACAACAATGAGCAATGGCAAATGGCTTGCGTACCTCACCACCAGAAAACTATATCCTTCATCTCAGCAGCCAGAAAGTCCCTTATCCCAGCCCCTGGCAGTTGACATGAGGTGGTATAGAATAACTTCCTAGCCACGCTCACAGGGCTCCAGGCTTTGCCTCCTCATGGCTACTGCAGAAATTAACTCTGTCCTGGACAGAATCTGGACAGCTAGCTAATAAGTGTTTTGTAAGGCTTTGTATATGGGCTGGTTTGGACAGGTAGGACTTGAATAGGTGAACATGATGCAAAACAAAAGCCAAGGTCTTTCAACGTGGTGCAACGCACTGTCTTTTGCAGGTGGTTGGGTAGGAATGAGAGTTTTAAACAGCATATACACAGGAGTTCTTTCACTGGTATAAGCCATGTAAGTAATTTTTCCAGGTTTGAACCCTTAGACTCTATGACGTAAGTCTAACCCTAAAAACCAACCACCCTGACTTTCCACAGCTGCAGCCACTAATGAAATTCAATATCAAAAATATAATTTTAAATAAAATGGTTATAACTTCGAGCAAAGATCAAGACCTTGAACTCAGCATGCCATGAGGATGTAGTACAAAAACAATACTTACTATTCCAAATGAAATCTCTTGATGTAAAGGATCATGGGTTAAGAGTTGGATAGAAGCTGAGGAAGTCAATGTTGGTGGATGAGTTGATGGAGAGTAGGTAAAGCTTCCTATAGGAAGATGTTCTCCAAGTAGTTCTACTTCATTCTCTATCCTTTGAAGTGGCTAAAAGAAACATAGGGTTTGTTGTATTAATAGAAAACCAGTTTTTAAAATTTATTTTTCAATACCAGAAAACCATAACTCCAATTACATGTTCTGAGTAGTTGTGAAAATTTTATGTAGTTGTACTGGGTATATGTGGCAAGGTTGTGGTAGTGGAGGTGGGGGACTGCAGGAGTAGCCTCTGTGCGAGAGGTAAGGGGCTTCCTTGTGCCAACCCACTGCAGGCCAAAGCTGAGCCAATCAGCAGTGTTTGTAGTGCCTCTGTGAAAAACTATTTAAGAGAGGGGGAAGGGGAAAACTGTATGTGGAGTAGGAGGGAACAAAAAAACTGTGAATAGGAGAAGGATGAAGTGCTCCATGGCACCAGAGCAGATATTCCCTGCAGCCCATGGAGGACCCACTCTGGAACAGATTGATATTTCCCAAAGGAACTGTGGTACATTGAGAACTCATGCCAAAGCAGATTTTCCTGATAGGACTGCAGCCCATGGAAGAACCTACACTAGAGCAAATTTTCATGATAGATTGAAACGCATGAAAAACCCATATCAGAGCAGAGGAAAGGTGTGAAAAGGAAGGTGCAGCAGAGAATGACTGTTATATACTGACCATAATCCCCCACACCTCTTCCCTCTCATGCCACTAGGGCAAGGAATCTAGAGAAAAACTACTAGCAGTGGATGAGGATTGAGTCAGATTTATTACTTGAGAGAACTTGATCCTTACAAGTCCATGGGACCAGATGGACTACATCCAAGAGTTGATGTCCTTGCAAGGTTGCTATAATCTTTAAAAGATTGTGGAGATAGGGGAGATCTGTAACAACTGGAGAAAGGTAAACATTGCGTTCATCAACAAAAAAGGCAAAAAGGACAATCTGGGAAACTACAGACCAGTCAATCTTACTTTAGTCCCTGGGAAAATCATGAAGTCAGTCCTCTTGGAACATATTTCTGGGCATATGGAAGAGTCAGCATGGCTATACCAAGGGAAAATCAACCAGATTGTCTAGTATGATCAGGTGATGATTTGTGGATGAGGGGAGAGCAGTGGATGTCATTCACCTCAACTTTAGCAAGGCTTTTGACACTCTCACAACACTCTTGTATCCGAGTTTGGATGTTACAGTCTGGATGGGTGGACAACCAGATGGATAAAAAATGTTTGGATGATCAGGCTTAGATCATGGTGGTTAATGGGTAATACTTTACTAAGATGCTGGTAACAAGTGGTATACCACAGGGACCTATCCTCTTTAACAACATTATCACTCACCTGGAAGATACTGAGTACTTGCTCATGAAGTCTACAGCTGATATCAAATTGCAGGGAACAATCCATACACTGGAAGGTAAGGCTGCCATACAGCAGGACATGAACAGCCTGGAGAAATGGGCCAATAGGAACCTTATGATATTCAACAAGGACATATGCCAAGTCCTACACCTGAGAAAGAAGAACCCCTGGCAACAATCTGGGTTGGGGAGTAACTGACTATGAAGCAGCTCTGCTGAAAAGGCCCTGAGGCCCTTGGTAACAAACAGTAACACAGCCAGTAGATTGAGCGAATCTACACCTTCTACTCAATACTTGTTAGACCTCATGTATAATACTACATCCAGTTTTGGGCACCCAAATAGAAAAAAAAAAAAAAGACATTAAAGTAGAACAAGCTCAAAGTAGAACAAGATCAAATGAGAGCCACCAAGGTGTTAAGGGGACTGGAGCATTTGTCTTATTAGAAGAACTGGGCTTTTTCTGCCAGGAGAAGAAAAGGCTTGAGGGAGCAGGAAAGAAAATCTAACAGTGGTCTTCTAATACCTACAGAGATTTGATCAATAAGATGAAGCCAGGCTCTTTACAGTGGTGCATGGTGGAAGGACAAGACACAATGGGCATAAGTAAAAACAAAAAAGGTTACAGCTAAATACAAATAGACGTTTTTTCACCATGAGGACAGTCAAACAGTGGAACAGGAACCTAGAGAATTTGTGTAGTTTCCATCCTTGGAGGTTTTCAAGATCTGACTAGAAAAAGCCCTGAGCACCCTCACCTAACCTCATAGCTGATCCTGTTTTAAACAGACATTTAAATTAGAGACTTCCTGAGGTGTCTTTACATCTGAATTATACTGTGACCCTATGATCCCTTTGCATATATAAGGTAGCAACTGACTTCTTTAACGGAAACATGTTCTCAAACTGAAGAAAATAGTTCTACTTCAATACCATAAGAAGTAAGAACTCAGCATTTCTCTGTGAGACAAAAATCTTCATTGTAAATACCTTGATTTATACTTATAAATAATCTCTTGCCCTATTTATGCTAGATACATTATCTTGAAGCTATACTTATGCTATTAGGAAAAGATCAATTAGGAAAGATCAAATCTCAGCTCATTTTGGTCTCATTTTTCAGGAAAACCTTAACTCTATTTCACTAAATCACCTTTCTTTTCCCAGTACTGAATTACACATTCTTCAAAACAGTCAGATATGAAAGCCATCTTGTGGAAGCAAAGGAAAAGGAAAACTGTTTCCCCATTCTGCTGAATAAACTTTAAATAGTCAGAATATTTAAGGAAATAATTCTTCTAGTAAGACTTGACAGCAAAAAAAACAAGCTATCAAAAAGAGCTAAAAGTTAACAAAGGAGCCTATTCTTGAAGCTAAATTAGTAATCTAAGTTAAGAAAGAGGGCCTGACATTTTCTGAGAGAAAACATCCTTATTACCAGAGAAAACTATGTAGAACTGTTCCCCCATGACTAAACTGAAATTATTACAGTAGTGCCAACACCTGACATTTAACACAGCAGTATTTGTTACTCCTCAAAAGAATCTGAGAAGTATTTGTCAGTAATACTGAAATGATTTTGTATTTTTCTATTAATGAAATATTGGTAGAGCTCCAAAGAAACAAATGTACCTGGAAGAAGATTATTAAGTAGATACTACTAACTTCTGGCAGAAGATTAACAGGTAGAAATTGCAAAATCTAATTTTTTTCCTTTGTGTCAAAATAGCATCTTCTCTCATATTTGCATAAACCCTATTATGAAGGCATTACCTTTTCACACAAGTTTATTTGAGTAATACTTTTCACACTAGTGTTTGGGGGGATACTCACTTTAAATACAATTCATCATGGCTAGGCTTCGCGAACGAAGATTTGAGAAGGGCTCTACCCATGCTTGCTACAAGTGCACTGATGGCTAAACTTTAAATAAACTATGAATTAATATGGTAGAAGCATGCAATACAAATAATGCTTTGTGCTTTCTGGTCTCTCAACAAAGTTTTTTCTCTGAGACCACTGCTGCACTACACTTAGGTCTCTATATTCTTTTACTTTCTGGAAGAACATCACCTTCAGAAGCAATATATGAAGCAAACTTATGTCAGACTGACAGGAGTAGAGTTGTCCAAGGAAAAAGAGTTGGCAACAGCTGAGGAAATCTTAAGAGAATCAAAAATAATTTCAAAACAATACTTTTTTTTCTTCAAAGTATTGCTCAGGTAGCACTATTACAAAACCCTATTACTTATTCTAAATAAGATCCATTTATTCTCTCAACCAGAATGTTATTAGAAGGACAAGAGCATTATTTGCTGATCAACCCCCAAATATTTTAGTAGAGGGGATAATAAGCATTACTTACTGAACGTGACTGCTGTGCTTGGAAAGGAACAAATTGTCCTGGAGGTGGCAGGTGAGAAGGATGATGTGGAGAGAGGTGAGGAGGATGCAAAAGGAATGGGTCATTGGAAATCAGAGGTGGGAACGCTGCATATGGTACTGGTAGATGTTGGACTGAGCACGCCTGAAGCATCTGAAAGAAAAAGAACATTTTTACATCTAGAATGAAAGGAGATTATTAAAAGAAAGCAGTCTACTTAGCTTACAAACACAACTCACACAATAATTCATTCAGAAACTCAATGAACAGTTCTAGTACAGAACAGTCTAAAAGTATAATGCTGCCAGCTACACTTGCAAGGTGCAAAGGGCCTTTTATTTCAGATGAAGTCAATAGGAGTTGGGGGTGTTCACATTGCATTATCAGGCACAGACTCCCAAGGGGAGGAGTAGGTTTGCTTACCATAGTAGTTGCTGTTCTTCCCAGACATTACATTTACAGGAACATGCCAAGAAAACAATTGTTAGTTGTAACTGAAGGACTTATAAATTTCAGATTGTGCCCTAGACGACTCTGTTGCTTGAAGTTGTGCACCTTTTCTTCTTTCCCCTCTTGCTAGTATCTGCTGTCCCTTTCTCTTCTGTCCTGAGACTTAAAGTGATTTGCTGAAAGAAAATGGTGTCCATCTGACACGACTGCAAGGCAGTAACCCAAACAGAAGCATTACAGCCTATCTATGTGGACATCTCCACCCAAATAGAATTCCCAGGGATCGATATAGCTGTCCAGACCTCAGGCTGCATGGAGCTCCAGTATCTGGAAGTCCCCCTAGTTCCCCTACCTGTTGAAGGCAGCGGTGGATGTCGTAGCTACACAAGTGTGCCCAGCTAGAAAAACTCTTCAGACAAGTAGCTATGTAACAAAAGGAGCTCAACAGACAGCACAGTATCTGGGAATGTAAACAGGAGATAAATGTGTGATATTGTGCACTGTCCCAGTCTGAGCAACAGCCTTAAGGTTGTGCAAGGGGAAGGTAAGAGGAGTGACTACAATGGTGGACATGGGCAGGGCTCTTTCTCCTGAGTCTTCAGTTCCAACTGTGTCTCTCAGTGTCCATTCACTTGGCTGGCACCACCGGTCTTCATGCCCTTTGTTAACCAAAGGGTTGGCAGTTCATGGCCTCTGCCTCTTGTCTCAGGTTCCCACCCAGAGCTCAATCTGCATCTCAGTCTGCAGTTTGCAAACTGAACTACCTGCACCAGATGTATTCCTCAACACTTAGGTATAAGGAAGAAATTTTTTTCGATGAGGGTGGTGAGACACTGTAACAGACATGATGCTCTGCGGTTGGAAATTGAAGAGCATGTGAGTAATGGACAGAGTCCAGGAGAAGCTGATTACATGAAGTTGATCAAACTACCCACCCACATTAGAACCAGTGCCACCAGAAAAGCATGTAAGTATAAGTGATTGGAGACTCCTTACTGAGAGGCAACAAAGCACCCATTTACTATCCAGACAACTTCTCTAGAGAACTCTGATACCTACCAGGAGCTTGCATTCATGACATTCCTGAGAGGCTACTGAGCCTGGTAAACACTAGTTTATCATCTGCTCAAGGTGAATGCCTGGCTGTGTGGTTGATGCCATACTCAAGGTTTTAACCTTTACCTTTGAGAAACTGGGTCTGCTGGGAGTTGATGGTATTCATGTGGCCAAGTGGGGCAAGGGGGTCTTCACCAACAAGCTGACTAGACTTATAAGGAGACCTTTAAACTAGATTTGTCAGGGGAAGGGGATGGAGTTTTGAGTAACAGAAGAGCCAGGGGCTGCTGATGCATTAGGAATCAACAGAGAAACAGCTGTGAAATTATAGAATCATAAAATGGTTTGGGTTAGAAGAGGCCTTTAAAGATCATCTAGTTCCAGCCTACCTGCCATGACAGGGACACCTTCCACTAGACCAGGCTGCTCAAAGCCCTTGAGAGCTTATGGTCAAAAACTAGGGGCTAAACCAACAAAGGAAACCTCATGGTTGGTGTTTGCTACAGGCTGCCCGATCAAAGGGAGCCTGTTGACGAAAGATTCTTACTTCAACTATGGGAAGCATCATGCTCACAGGCTCTGATCCTGCTGGGAGACTTCAATCACCCTGATACCTTCTGGAAAAGTAGGACAGTAAGCTATTGGAGGGCACTGAGGAGAATTCCTTAATCCAGATAATAGACAGCCCAACCAGTGGAGATGTGTTACTAGACCTGTTGTTCACCAACACAGACTAACTGCAGAGGTCAAGATCAGAGGCAACCTGGTCTGCAGTGATGATGTGGAAGATTGTGGAATTCACAATCTTGAGGGATATGGGCCAGATGAAGTGTAAAGTCAAGACTTTCAGATGTTTAAGAAATTAGTGGATGGAACCTCCAGGAAACTGCCCTCAGAGGTAAAGGATCTGAATGGAGGTGGTAGCTCTTTAAAGACATTTTTCTTAGAGCACAAGAGCTCTCAATTCCCATGTGTAAGAAATCAGGCAAGGAAGGCAGGAAATCAGCATGGCTGAGTAAGGACCTCCTGTTCTAACTAAACTGTAAGAAGGAAATGCATAGACCATTGAACAAAGGACAGGTATCCTGGAAAGAATATAGGGATGCTGCAGGGATGGTATCAGAAAAGGTAAGGCACAGCTGGAGCTGAATTTGGCAAGAATGCAGAGAAAGGTTTTACAAGTATGTGGCCAGAAAACAAAGAAAATGTACCCATTTTAAAAAAAAGTTATAAGGAGAATCCTGGGAACTACTTGATCAGTCAGCCTCACCTGCTGTAAGATCATGGAACAGATCCTCCTGTAGAAGACAGGGAAGTCATTTGAGACAACCAACATGGCTTCACCAAGGGCATCTCATGCCTGACTAATCTAGTGGCCTTCTACGATGGAATGACTGCATCAGTGGATAAGGGAAGAGCTACAGATGTCGTCTACTGAAACTTCTGTAAGGTGTCCTTGTTCTGACCAGGACAGGGTTAATTTTTTCAGTAACCAGAAGGGGCTATTGCTAGGACTTGGAGGTTATTCTATACCACCTCATGTCATTGCCATGGGAGGAGGAAAGGGACTCTCTTCTGGGAAGAAGGGGTTCCGTTCTGGTCAAGTAAACGTGGCAAGGGAAGCTGTCCAGTATTGTCTATTGTCAGAGGGTTTCCATGTGAATCATTTCTTTTTTGTACCCTCTGGCATTAGTATTGTTACTGTTCCTTTTCTTATCTCATTGTTTTTTGCAGTAAATTGTTCTTATCTCAACCAGTGACCTTTTCCTTTTCTGCCTCCAACTGTCCTCTCCATCTGGGGGAGGGGGGGGGGGGAAGGTAAAGGAAAGTGGGGGAGCGAGAGAGAGCAGCATGTGGTTTGGAGAGTGTCATTCCTAAACCATAACATAAGGCTTTTGAAATAGTCCCCTACAACATTCTGGACTATAACAGATGGACTGTTAGATGGATAAGGAATTGGCTGGATGGTTGCATCCAAAGACTTTTAGTCAATGGCTCAGTGTCCAAGTACAAATCAGTAATGAGTGGTGTCCCTCAAGGGTCCATACTTAATATCTTCATCACTAAGATAGTGGGATTGAGTGCATCCTCGGCAAGTTTCCAGATGACACTAAGCTGAATGGTACAGTTGATTCTCTGGGACCAGCTCTGGGACCAGCTCTGGGGCCTCCAGAACAATAAAGACACGGAGTGGGTTGGAGTGGGTCCAGAGAGGGACACAAAAATTATCAGAGGGATGGAACACCTCTCCTGTGAAGAAAGGCTGGAAGAGTTGGGGTTGTCCAGCCTGGAGAAGAAAAGGCTACAGGGAGATATAATTGCAGCCTTTCAATATATAAATGGGTCTTATAAGAAATACAGAGAAAGACTTTTTACCAGGGGTAATGGTTTTAAATTGAAAGAGGGTAGATTTAGATTGGACATACGGGAGAAATTATTTATGATGAGGCTTGTGAGACAGTGGAACAGGTTGGCCAAAGAAGTTGTGGATACCCCATCATTAGAAGTGTTCAAAGTCAGGTTGGACAGGGCTCTGAGCAACCTGATCTCCCTTGCTTATGGCAAGGGAGTTGAAGCTCTGAAGGCCCTTTCCAACTCAAACCATTCTATGAGTGTGATTATAACTAGACTTAAAAATTCTGTTCATTTCCATGTTTTGAGGGGAGCCACAAGCTCTAGAGTAAAACCTCTGAACTATGAAGGTATCACCTAGAGACAGTTTACAGTAAAAGCAGACTTCTACTCTGTGACATTGTGTCCAAAAAATACAGTGAGTCAGTAAAGTTGGAACTCTCAGGAATTAAGGTGGTGGTAGGGATAATAGAAACTCACTTCATGGAAGTGCTCAGTTTTACTTCCAACTCTACTCATCCATGATGCCGGATTTTGCCCCAAAAGGCACGGAGAAACTGCTTTAGAGACAAAGTTTGTTTCTTTAAAGCAGGAGGTATTTTATTGCAACGCGTTGGAGAGCTTCCAGGTCTCCCTGGCCATAAAGCTCTGTCGTGTACAATCAGCATAGCTCTTTTATACAGTTTTTGAGTATAGGATTACAACACAATCATGCATATTCATTAAATTGCAACATCTACTTGTAATATTCATATATAGGCGGAGTCTGGGCGGAGTCTTCAATTTGGGGAGATTTCACGGTGGGGGTTCCTGTTGCCTTCCTCTGGGCGGGGGTCGTGTGTGAGTCTTCCTCACTGTAAACTTCTGAACTTTCTTTAGATCTTCTCCTTTTAAGGCAGTTTTTGGCAAACATAATAGGGTTAGGCTGACTTTTGGCTCATCCTAGGATTTGCTGAGTTGCTATCTCTGTGAGGAATGCTGCTATCTCTCAAGGACTGCTCTATCTAGTCAATATGTTCTGTTCCTCAAGACAATTTATGACTCCTTCTTTCCTAATTTCCTAATGTTAAGGTTTTTTACAATTTTGTTTTAACCTTTTATGTTTCAAAGCCTTCCTTAAGTGAGTGGCTTCATCCAGGAACAAGATTCCAAATTTGCATTTGTTCAATTGCTTTTTTAATCAGTCACCAGAATATCTGGCATTCATTTTGCTTCTGACCATTAAAAGTGCAACTCAATATGAGCTTTTAAAAAATAAGTATCAATTCTCTTATGTAAACATGGGTATTTATTAG